ATTTAGAACATAGATATATATAAGGGACTTCTAAAAGAAGGTGTAGTCATTATGCACGTGCTTGCACGTGTTTGCACGCAAAATGAGTAAAATTAAAAATACATTCGAATGAGTGTATTTTTTAAATACTTATGGATTAAATGTTTTGATATTAAGTATATTTAAAGTTTAGATAGTGTAGACAAGATAATATGGTCGTTACGCAAATGAACACGCGTGCAATGCCTATTTTTAAATATATTTTGTATTTTTCTGGAAGACTCATTAAGTCTAAATTCCATAAAGTATTTCTTATTTAATAGAGATTACAGGGAATATGGCACCAAAAGGGAGGTGGGGAGCGTTTGGGGAACATCTGTAACGGTCCCCGTTACAATTAGCACTAGTTAAATAGCAATTTTTCTGTTGCGAATTGTACGTAAATAATTGACTTGTAACTACGATATGTTGAAAAATCTAATAGTATCAGATCTTCTTTAACAAATCTTTTTGTCAAGCTCTGATTATTACTACAATTAAAAAAATATCCAAAACTATCATAAAGTAGTATATTATTTATTGCTGGCATGCATGGGGATCATCATTTCTGGTGCGTGGGTTTTTACAGAAGCAGCAACCGTCAGGTTCATGAGCCCTGTCTACCATAATCAGTCAGTACATCATACATTCTCTCAGAATTTGTTACCATGAATTAATATATGTCACATGCATCTTTACAATCAACGAGCCGTGATCAGTTCCAATTTTCATCAGCTTAGAGATAAAATCAAGGTAGTACTTAGAGTCAGGGTTCGCTGTCCATGATTATTATATTTTCCCTCTTCGCAGTATGTACAATGTATGTACACTATAAGAGAATAGTTTTTTAATCGAAATATGAAGAAAACGAACAGTGATCAACCTGAAAAACTGGAACAACACAAATTGGAAGCCGTGCAAACACGGACGCGTAAAACACCAAGATTAGATCATGTGTCGTGAAGGAGTAAGCATCCCCTGTCGAACAGTGTTCCCTGTCATGATCGCACAGAGACCTTATAAATTGAATGAAAACGTGAGACAATCACTTAATTATATGCTTTTAAGTAAACTATACAGAAATAATTTGCGTTCCTTTTTGGATATTAACCAATGAGAAGCTAGAATACAACTGAAATTAAATTACAAGTATTTGTATAAAACATTCAGTGTAATACAATACATTTTGCTTGTAATTAAGTGTAACATTGTAAAAATCGGTTGTGCCTCGGTTGTTTTATTAGGGTGAAACATTTTCAAAGTTACTTTAAAACTACGTACGATATATTATATTTTGCAATCATGGTCATTGTTCATACCATCAACTTTGCGAAATGTTGACTTTAACCAGGACTTTTGATTCCTAATATCACCAACTTATTCGTCAACAGGTTGCCTTATTTTCAAAATTGTTCGTATAAAGTATCAGAGCCTTCTTTTGCAATTTTTGCCCCCCCCCCTTTCGCGTAAGTGAGAGAACATTAAATCTCATTCGCCTGTCAGTTTGTAAGTCTGTCGGTCTGTACTTCTGCATGTCCGTCCATCACAAAAACTTTAACCTTAGACATGTCTTTTGAATGGGAAGAGATAGGGCTTACATATAACACATGTATATTACCCGTGACAAGTCCTTTCTGAGAACACTATGATTTTGACCCCGTAACATTGACCTTGAAGTTTTACCTACATTTCAAAAAATCAATCATACGCCCGCGTGACGTATTGGTTAGAGCGTCTGCTCTAGAGTCACGAAGTAAGGAGTTGATCCTTAGGTCCCGTTTTGCATCCCACTGTGGGACGTGGAGACTGGTCCTTCGGATGAGACCATATAAAACGAGGTCCCGTATCGCAGAAGGTGTTGGCGCGAAAAAGATCCCTTCCTGCTCAATGGCCCTAAGTGCCGAGTATAGGACAAAATTTGCAGCTCTGCATCAGGAAGTGGTGGCGTCTCCATATGAGTGAAAAATTGGCGAGAGGGACGTTAAACAATATACAATCAATCAATCATCAATGAATTGGTCACAACTTTTGAATGAGAAGAGATAGCGCTTTCATATTTAAGATGCATATTACCTGTGATAAGACCTTTCTAAAAACATTATGATTTTTAGCCGGGCTTATTGCTCAAAGAGCAATTGCCGGCTTATGTGATCCTGTTCAAGACAGGATGTTAACCTGATAGTCGCCATTTTAAAGTTACGTGTAAAAATATAGTTCTTACTCTCAACCGCTTTTGAGATAATACAAACGCTAAATAAAGCAACAAAAATAAAACGAAGTTTTATCTAAATAAATAAACATATTTAGTACCTTTGAAAACTTCAGTCTTAAGTCAAAGAACATAGTTCAGTGGTGTAAGGAGTTTTTATAATCAGTGTTACATGTATCTTAGTTCTCTACACATACGAAGAAAAGCAGGAGAGGGAACCAGACTGGCCTGTTTGTTTATTTTCAGTTGCGGTACCAGATTAATTCTGATTCTGACAAAATCGGACCGTGGTATTAGGATAGAAACTCACTGTCAGTGTCAGTGTCTTATCATTTATGTTGATAGATTTAAAATGATTTTTTCATCAGAATTTTAAATCTGATATTCTTTTTTTTTTATCTGTTAATACAATATAAACGTATGATTCATGTAAGAAATTCATAATGATTCTACTCTGTAAAGGAGCCCGGCTCTCTGTACTTCTGAGTACTTTGATTGATATCGTGATCTTGACATTGAAGTTTGACCTACATTTCAAAAACGCTAACATTGGTCATATCTTTTGAATGAGAGGAGATAGGGCTTTGACTTTGACCTTAAAGGTTGGTATACTTTTCAAAAACTTTCTCCTAGGTCATGACTTTTGAACGAGAAGAGATAAGACTTTCATATTAAAGCTGTATATTGTCTGTAACAAGACCTTTCTAAATACATTATGATTTTTGATCTTGTGGCCTTGACCTTGAATTTTGACCTACATTTCAAAAATGTTAAATTTTACAACTTTTGATTGAGAAGAGATAGGGCATTCATATTTGACAGGTGCATTACCTGTGACAAGATATTTCCAAGCATGCTATGATTTCTGACCCCTTGACCTTGACCTTCACGATTAACCTAATTTTAAAAAACTGAATCAACTTCGGTGATAACTTCAAAATGACATATAATAGGCGTTCATATTTGACACAATATGTCATAAAAATGACATCTCACGAAAAAGACACCGAAAGCGGAGACAGCAATTCTTTTTTGAAATTCAAGGTGAATGTGATTTTTTTTTTAAGTTGGAATTTTAATTTTTAAAATAGTCCATTTCTTTCGTATCCTACGATGTAGTACTACAGTATCATATATTGCTTGAATGTATAAAGATATCACTGCTTATGCACGTGTTTCTAGTGCACTGGAGCAGCATTTGTTGGATCATGTGTTTTGTCTGCCAAAATCAGTGGGTATATACATTCTCTAAGAAATTATTAGATGATTAATATATAATACATTGTAGAAGTCACAATTATTAAGATCTATCTAATCAACAAAGTTAACATTGATCAATTCCAATTTTCATAAACTTAGATAATTATTAGATCAAGGTGACAGATTTAAATGAAAAACGTCAGTCGACATTTATCTAACTATCAAAGCCATTGTTCGGGCCATCAAATTTGAACGGTGGATACTAATACTTTCATATATCACATGTATTTTTCTTTTGACATGACATTTCTTTGATTACCAATCTTTGACTTCATTATCTTGAATTTGGAGTTCGATCTACAATTGTAAATTAATTTTAACCTATCTTGTCTATAACTATTGGTTGGTTGCCGCAAGGCTTTTCATTCCTCATATATACAATCGATATAATTTGTCCTCATGTCATTGACCTTTGAGCACGATCTTCTTTAAGAAAAACTTAAGCCTTTACAATATTTTCTGATTTTTTTGTTACTAAAGATATTATATTTCATGTGTGTGTTTCTTAAGAAAAGTCTATGTTAGAAGGTTCAACATTTCTTTTGACCCAAAGTCAATGACCGTGTCCTTGGAGTTTGACCTACATTTGTAAAACTTTAACCTTGGTCTGAATCTTTTATACGGGTTCAAAACAAAAAAAAATGTCTTATGCTTGAATATTGTATTCAGAGAAAGATTTATCCCCGTTCTATTGTCCCCTGCTTTCGTGAAAGCGAGGGTACATTAAATCTTATTCGTCTGTCAGTAGACCTTTCTAAATTCACTATGATTTTTGACATCGTGACATTGACCTTCAAGTTTACTTTGACCAACTTTTCAAAATCTTGCTCGTGACTTTTGAATGAGAAAATATATGGCTTTAATATCAAATCTGTATATTGGTTTCGACAAGACCTTTCTAATTACGTGTACTCTATGATTTTTATCTTGTGGCCTTGACGTTTGACCTACTTTTCAAAATTGTTAATTTTTCCTTTTGTCAGTTTTGATTGATAAGATACATGTATAGGGTTTTCATATTTGACATGTGCATTTCCTGTGACAAGATAGTTCCAAATACTTAACTGATATGATTTCTGAACTATTGACTTAGTTTTTTTTTTAATTCTGATATCTTTGAAACGCGATTTAAATTCATTATTGTGTAATTTACATGAAAGTCCTATCTTTATATAAAATAATAAAATAAATAGAAAATATATTTTTAATTACAATTTGTCTGAACTTATAAAAAAAAAATACGCCATATATGACTTTTTTTAAAAACTATATTCTAGTCTAGACATGGGATAGGCACCCGAGGTTACTTATTTTTCTTATAACTTGTATTCTTAGAAACTTTCCCGGTTTAATTTGTAATTAAATAACAAATGTTTTATTGAAGTATATCAAAAATATTTTATGTACTGCAAATTAAAGTCAGTGAGTGTCTACAATGTGCTTTAATAATAATTTATAAATAATATCCATCGGGATCGAAATACAGAAAATGGTGATCACCTAAACAAATTTTCGTATCAGACTGAGTCTCGAGTCTCAGAATCCATGAGATTGGGATTGTATCCAAGTAGTATGAGCTCTCCTGGATAATTTTGTTCTCCTATCTGACATAAAATTTCACTAAGATGGCAAACAAAGAGAAAGGTGTCGTTTCTTCGACATCTGTTACATCTGTAAAAAGAAAATTCAACAATTCGGAGGAGGAATGTGTTACACACACAAATGAAACACGGAGAGGAAGTCCATCTATTATGAACTTGAATATTCCATCGACATCTAAAGACTGGAGTGAGGAACTCTTACCACACTTACATATAGAAGTAGAAACGGAGGTTTTCACGCCGTATGTTGTATTTTCATCATATCCAGATTTCCTGGAAAGTCAGAAGAACAAAAGAAGTGAAATTATAGCCATGATGAACGACCCAGCTTCTGAGCGAAAAGTTCCGTTTGATTGCTTTAATCATATAATGGAACAAATCCTAAATCTTGATTATGAACATATAGACCATGTCCCGGTCTGGAGAGTAGAGAAACTGTATGAAAACTCAAAGATATGGAGGGATTGGGAGAAGGAGTTGAGTGGTTTTAAAACCATTAAGGGCTTAAAAGAAATGTGTCTGAGGTGACCGTCTTTTGATTGTACCTGTCAGTAGAGCTTTGGTATTGTGTGTGTGTGTGTGTGTGTGTGTAATTTCACAAAAGAAGAAAAGTGGTGCCATAACCAAAAATATTGTAATTTAAATACATATGTAAGAATAATTCCATGAATAATAAGAATTGCATTCTCTTAATGCAGATACACCAATTTATTGACTCTATGTTCCATTTCAAACATCAAGATAAAGTAGACTTGTGCTTTGTTTTCTATTCCTATAGACTTTAAAGTTAAGGGATTGGAAAACATACCTTGTGAAATTGCATTTTTTTTTTCTAAATTCAGACTACAGCAAAATGTGACCGATTTTCTATGGCAGCTCCTTTACATGGTAAACAGAAGACAGCATCCAGAGCGAGAAGAATTGTCAGAGGGAATGTTCCAAGAGCTTTTTATGAGATATGCCAGGATGTTTGAATTGGGTCTAGTGTAAGTCATAAAAATTATATTTAAATTACACTGTACCGTAGTATCCATATTCTTTGCCTGCAACACTGATAAATACTGTAAATAAGTACTTTCATTGAAAATATAGCTTTTACATAATGATATGATTTTAACTTAATTTTTTTTTTATTATACCATGCTTTTACACGAGTTTATTTTTATTCATTATTGTGTCTAGAGGTGCACCAAATGTTGGATGTTACAACTGTGTAGTCGGTGGTAAAGAGATTTCCTCAGTACCTGATGCTTTGGTCATTGATCCTTGCAAAAAGAATACAGTTCTGGCAGTTGTTAAGGTACAACATACAAATCATAAAAAAATCAAAAAATGTCAGGCACCTGGCATATCCATAATTTTTTTTAAGTTGGTTTTGTATCAATTAATCTGATGAATGGAAATTAGTTTATAAATTAATTAACAAAAAATTAACATTTCTGAAATGTACATATCAGAAAATTAAGTCTTTCAGTATTGCAACGTACTAAATATGATACACTAAAATATGTTAAAATTGTGCTGTTTTAGCCCTTGTTTTTATTGCTCTATCGCACTTTCTCCATGTCTCAAGTTAGGTCAGACACAGTTGACAGTAGCAATAAAAAAAAATAAATGGCTCTGTTGAATTCCCCCCCCCTTTTGAACTCATCTCATGTTAATGGAGGTGAAAGGGGCAAATGGAAATTGGCTTTACTTAATATTAGTATTAACCTTTTTTCCACCAATTTTTTGCTATAAATAAAAAGTAGATTTTTCTATGGTTTGGCTTTATTTAGTGAAGTGTTAATTTTATATTGATTGAAGATTTGACAATTCTTGTGTCTTACCTATGAATGATGTGCCCTTATTATTGAACAAGAATACTCTAAACTATATTTTGGTTGATTGTCAAAATTTGATTTAGGTTACACAGACATATAACAAAGAAATTGATTTAAGAGGAGAGATGTGGAAGTTCATCAAAGTTCAAAACCCCATTGAGCATGTGGACAATAATTTGAAATGCCAACACATTGGAGATATACTCTCAGTTCTACAGTGCTCTTTGTTTGGACCAAATGGAATGTATGGTTTTGTAGTTCAAGCAACAGAGGTAAGTAAATATGCAATAATATAAATATGTAAAAATACAAATTTCCTCTAACTTTTATTTTATAAAAGTACTAGTAATTGTGTTATACACATCTTCGGTAGCCAAGGGTTTCTGATACGATACTCTCCTCATGAATTGAGGAGAATAGCGTATCAGAAACCCTTGACTAGCGAAGATGTGTTATACATTGAGTTTATAATATTGAAGATGCAAATTTTGAAAACAGTAGAAAAGTTTGCACAAAAATGTTCACAATGAAATTTTTGCCCCTGCTTTATTTTTGCCCCTTTCACCCTTGTCCTAAGTGGGTGAATTTAATTAAAGAAGATAGCATTATCTCTGCAAATGCTAAATTAGGAAAAGAACTATATGCGGTATTAACCAACATTTGCCCCCCAAAATCAAACTTTGATGGAGTAATATTTAATTAAGTCCTTAAACAGGGGAGTATGTGCTGACTTCAAAGCACAGAATAATTTCATATGTAATGACGTCATATGTACGTAATGACGTCACAAATATGACGTAATTTCAGTTTTTTATGAATTTTGCAGAAAAATGTACATATTTCGTCGATATTTTAAATAAAAGTCACCGAGCGCATGTGTGTTCAGGATAAATATTTTGATATAATGTGTAGAATGATAATATCAATGAAATATGTCAATATTGTTCTTGAACACACATGCGCTCTATAAATTTTAAAGCTTAAATTGTTGAAATTTTGTCCATTTTGTCCTCTTTCTGGAAAAGGATATAAAATCGGACTAGTTTGTGACGTCATAAAAACAGAAATTGTGAATACACTGCTCTGGAACTATAATATTTTCTGTTAACTTATATTTCTCGTACAATTCATTGAATTCAGCACATTTCAGGAAGTTTTCAAAATTTGACTTTTGTGGGGGCAAACATATGCAATATACCGCATATAGTTCTTTCAAAGTGTGAAGGGGCAAAAATAACCCTGCATACACAATCGGCTTACCTCTGCCAATTCGTACCTCATCTAAATAAATGATGAAGGCGAGGGATATGGTCGAGGTTTGCTGAATGCCTGCATACAGTATTTAAATCATTTTCACTTTTATTTACAGGTAACTGTTGTAGCTTTTGCAACAGATAAAAATTATACCACATATATCAAAACAGGACATATAGCAGAACAAGACTGTGCCACGGTAAAATACAGCGAGAAGTGCAATATTTTGTCAAAGAAAGGACGACTTAAACTTGCCAGGACTTTTCTTGATATGGCAGCTCTGATGAAATACTTGTAAATTATTGTTTGTGGTTTATCGAAATACAACAACATGTACTTAATTGTGTAACATAACATTTATTTTTATTAATAAACTTCAATGTGAAAAAATCTTCTAGAGTAATCTTGTAAAATGTGCAATTCAATGTATTAAAGGATGATAAATACAGAAATTCTCAAAAAAGGGGTACAATGCGTCAGAAATATGAACAAGTTAGAAAATTGGGAAAATTGAAATTCAATAGTTCCAGTGACCACTAGATGATCAATTACAACTAGAGGTTCAGTTATCTAAACACCCAGATCTATTTGCTCCCATTTTATTTATGTCTCGAATGGAAGATCTGATTTTAATTAGATTGTCTAAATACCATCAACAGTGTGATAAAGTGAAGTCTGATAGAAATACAGACTCCTCTGATTATTGGATTGATCGCTGGTGGCCTGATAGCTATAGCTCAGTTCGTAGAGCAACTGACTGGAGATTAAGGGGGCCTGGGCTTGAATCCCGGTCTGGTCTGATGCATTTTTCTTCTCTCCTGTTACATTTGGTGCTGTGCCATGCCCTGGAACTGACAGGTGAGAGGCATGCCAGGGATCAGCCTGGGGTGGGGTCTTATAGGGAGGGATATGACGGTCAGTCAGGTTTGATCGTGCTGGAATTCTCAGTTGGTAGAGCACCTGACCGGAGATTCAAGGGGCTAGGGTCCGAATCCCTGCATGGTCCACTGCATCCTTCTCCTCTCCCATTACACACAGATTCTCGTTCGCGGCGCCGCGTCATACCTAAGACATAAACAAAGGTAGTGACTGTTCCTTCCATGCCTTCGCCAAGCGCTCGGCACTAGAAGTGAAACGGGTCTTTCGGATATGACCTTAAAAACGTAGGCCCCGTGTCACGGTAGGCGCTGGCACGATAAAGAACCCTCACTGCTCAATGGCCCTGAGTGCCGAGTATAGGTCTAAATTTGAAGCCCTTCACCGGCATACGGTGACGTCTCCATATGAGTGAAAAATTCTCGAGAGGGACGTTAAACAATATACAATCGATCAATCAGATGTAGAAAAGGGGGGGGGATTTGAGAAGGCGGAGTGTGCCATAGGGAGTTGTGGTAAAATTTAATTGATAAAAAATTTGATTGCAAGAATTCAAAAGCTTCTTGAAATATCGACTGGAAATGAGTTTTACACATAGCCTATATCGATACACTATGAATTTACGACCTTGACCTTTGACCTTTTCATTTCAAAATAAATAGGGGTCTTCCTTAAGTTGTGGTGTAAAAATTTCATTGCAAAAGCTCAAAGTCTTATTCTAGAGACTTCGCGCAGAAACAAAGACTTTTCATTCGGCGAATGATTCGCTCCCCCTTTTTTTATGGGGAGCGAATGAAAAATCAACGCGCTAACTTCTACTTTCGGTTTCTGTTTCTGAAACTTCGTTACTTCTCGGGCCTTTGCCTAAACAACTTATGTCGTCTGCAGTAGGAATTTTGTTTATGAGGTAATTTTTTGATGATATTGCGATTTTATATCGCTAACATGTTTTCTCCCTCTTTGTTCTCATTATGATTAATAAATTTTCTTAACGAGTTTTCCATTTCATTCTTCCAGACGAAGAAAATGGACGAAGGGCGGCAAGAAAACGGTAAGCTTTTTAGTTAAGGCTTAAAATGAATTTGTAGCTCCTTGTTTTCACGACTTTGATTTTTTTAACTGAACTTTTCTGATTTTATGAGAGACCTATTTTGATTTGTATCACAGAAGTCAGAACTGATGTGAAGTTACTACTAGACTGTTTGAAATGCCAAGTCAACAATCCAACTGCAGTAAAACAGGCCCTTCTAACACTTTCTTCGATTTTTAGTACATATGGTAGGTATAGCTGCAGATCTGTAGCGTTATGGTTTTATATTTACATTACGTGTATTTTTTCCTTATGAAATTCATTAGAAATCCACGACATTCAAATTTCTATAACACACGAGAAACCTTGTTACCGCGCGTTAGAATACACAGTAGGAACTATTTGAATTTTCAGTACTCTAGGAACACCAAAATGTACAATGTTTTGACTCAATTTAATTAAAAACTATGATCTTGTAAAATTAACGTAAAAATACTACAAAAAAATTAATGTGCGTTTAAAATTAATTTGTCACTTTTTTTCCTCGCAATGTTTCTTTGCGTTATTTAACTTTGCAACGTCATCTGACATCACAAACGGCTCTTACGTCTATTAACCACGTCAGTGTTGAAGGGCACTAAATTCACATTGAAGATTAACGAAATAAGCAATTATGAAGAAGGAAAATTAGAGAATGTAAATATAAGCACTGAATTTATATTTTTGGATGTCTTCGGTCCTATAACACACCTGGCCGTGCCGACAAATTATCATACCGCGCTAACGCGCGGTATTCAATTTGTCAGCACGGCCAGATGTGTTATAGGACCGAAGACAGCCAAAAATATGAATTCAATGCTTAAATACATTTGTCTTTGACCATAACACTACAGATCCCGTAATGCAAAAAAGGCGCAATTTATGGCGCAATATTTTTTGCGCACTTTTGGGGAGAATTTCTCCACTTTCTGGCATTGGTCAATCAACTACCAATAGAAAGAGTACATGATCATCTCTACTTAGATCCAAAGATGATGCATTACATTATAATAAATACATGAAGTTAAAGTCATATATGGCATATTTTTGATAAACTCAGACTAACTAAAATTAAAAAAAGATCTTTCTATTTTTTTTTTTTCTGGATATAAAGATAGGACTTTCCTGAAAATTACACAATTTAAATCAATCGTGTTTCATATATAGGTATCACAGATTTAAAACAATAAACAATTTATTTCCGGCTCAGAATTAAATACTGTAAACAGTGTTATTTCCGCCATGCTTTTATTTTCGCCCTAACATGTATTAACTTTTTGCTAATGTATACTGTAATATCGTTTAAGTTATTGCTTTGCTATTTACATGTATTTAGAATGTTAATGAAATTTGAGATGAGTAAAAATTCTATTTCATTTATTCCAGATTTTGTCAAAGAATATTTCAAGGACATTGGGGGTCTTACATTCCTTATAGATCTCCTTACATCCATAGAAAATCATGAAGTTCAGGAAAGAGCCTTCTTTTGTCTTGGTTGTGCAATTGAAAGAAATGGTAAATCAGATCATTCATCAATTTAAAAAAACAAAAAATGAAAATAAAATAATCTGATTATATAATAAGAATAGAATTAATTTAGTTGAATTTACCATCTCCTGTCCAAAAAAATTATATATCAGAATAACAAGTACATGTAATAAACTGTTTCAACTACCGGTAAATAATGCCAGGGGATAAATTGTTACTTCTGATATTCATGAAATATTTTGAACTTTCAGTTTTTTGTCAGAAATCAGTTACAACCAGCACTGTTTTCAAATTCATTCAAACAATATTGTCAGAGGGATCCACTGCCAAATTAAAGCAAACAGCAACATTCTTTCTCATAAATCTTGTGGCAAACAATGGTAAGTTAAATATTATATTGTCTATGAAAATTTTGATTAAAATCTTAATTATTATATTGTTAAGAAATTATTTTTTTTTTACCTGTTATGTAGTTTAGCTTACTGGTACATAGCTTTACTGTTCTCACCTCACATGCTATATTCTTCAGAAGCTTCTTTATCACATTTTACGCAGGCAATTTAAATTCAAAACTATCTACATTTGCCCTCTGTCACCCAGACTTAGATTTTCCAAGGGTAGAAATTTGGTTTAAGAAAAATTCCACTATAAAGTACATACTTATTGATATTTAAAATTGTAAGTATTCTTCAATCTACATTACATACCAGTGATGGTAAATGGATTTTGAATATTCTAAAATCAAAAATTGCCCTTTTGAGGGAAAAAAAGGCAATTTTGAGTAATTTTTTTTCCCAGTTCCTCTGGTGAGGACTGTTAAGTTTTCTTTGTAAAATACACTGGTAACCAATGTAAAATACATGGTTTTACTATTGTTAATCTTGAGATTTAAATATCATAAGTACGTAATAAATTCATTCCATTTTAGGAGAAGGACAAGTCTTGGTGAAACAAAGTCAGTGCCTTTCTACTCTAATGGATTTATTATGGTACGTTTATCTTTTCTGTATGTAGCCAAATGAGAATTGGTGATCCTCAGCAAGTTAATTAAATTAAAATGCAGTATTGTAATTTCGAAGAAGGGAGGGCATATTGCTTTGCTGCTGTCTGTCTGTTGTTCTGTCAGTGCACTTGGTTTCCGTTCATTTTCTTCACAACCGTTGCACATACAGAAATAAAATTTGGTATACAGTTTTATCAGATGAATATCTAGGTCAAGTTCTGTTTAGGATACGATTGCGCCATTTTTTTTACAGAGTTATGCCCCTTGGACTTAGAAAAATTTCCAATTATTTGCAGTTTCCATTCATTTTCTTCGCAGAGGTTGCACATACCGAAATGAAATTTGGTATACAGATTTATCAAATAAATATCTACGTCAAATTCTTTTTTTGGGTATTGCCCCATTTTTGGCAGTTTAATGCCCCTTGGACTTGGAAAGATTTCAATTTGCGGGAGGAGGGCATAAGTGTTTTACAAACATCTCGTTTGTTTCTGCTTTTTCTATAGAATTCTTTTTATCTGTGAATTAACTGAAAAGACAAAATTTATCGATTCAAAGATATTTTAATGTAGGTATTGATGATTTTTAGGAGATTTACTTTTGATGTTTGCAGTAAATCTTTGCCAAAAGGTATGAGAGCTGAAGGTAGAGATGAGACAGGTTTTGACTGGTTTGATGATTCAGGACCCACTAGCATAGAACTGTGGACCAGTGTGGTCAATGCTTTATGTGTCAGTATCAACAATCCACAGAATGGTAAATATATGTATTCCAAGCAAAGACAGTTTGAGGTAAAATAGCATTTATGCAAACTGAGCTAAATAGTCTATTGAGTTTTTAGCTCTACTGGTCAGAGACCAGAAGAGCTTATGCGATAGTAATGCGTCTGTCGTCCGTCCGTCTGTCTGTCCGTCTGTCTGTCTGTCTGTAAACAATTTTTCAAAATGCTACTCCTCCTACAGTTTTGGTCTGATTTCAATATAACTTGGCACAAAAGTACACTACACTAAGATACATAATTCTGTGCATCGGTTTTTGATTTCGATGAACGGTGTTGCCGTTGTTACTAAAAATAGAAATTTCTGTGAAATTCTTTCAAAATGCTACTCCTCCTACAGTTTTGGTCTGATTTCAGTATAACTTGGCACAAAAGTACACTACACTAAGATACATAATTTTGTGTATCGGTTTTTGATTTCGATGAACGGTGTTGCCGTTGTTACTAAAAATAGAAATTTCTGTGAAATTCTTTCAAAATGCTACTCCTCCTACAATTTTGGTCTGATTTCAATATAACTTGGCATACAAGTACACTACACTAAGATACATAATTCTGTGAATCGGTTTTTGATTTCGATGAACAGTGTTGCCGTGGTTACTAAAAATAGAAATTTCTGTGAAATTCTTTCAAAATGCTACTCCTCCTACAGTTTTGGTCTGATTTCAATATAACTTGGCACACAAGTACACTACACTAAGATACATAATTCTGTGTATCGGTTTTTGATTTCGATGAACGGTGTTGCCTTTGTTACTAAAAATAGAAATTTCTGTGAAATTCTTTCAAAATGCTACTCCTCCTACAGTTTTGGTCTGATTTCAATGTAACTTGGCACACAAGTAAACTACACTAAGATACATAATTCTATTTATTGGTTTTTTATTTCGATGAACGGTGTTGCCGTTGTTACTAAAAATAGAAATTTCTGTAAAATTCTTTCAAAATGCTACTCCTCCTACAGTTTTGGTCTGAATTCAATATAACTTGGCACACAAGTAGACTACACTAAGATACATAATTCTGTATATCGGTTTTTGATTTCGATGAACGGTGTTGCCGTTGTTACTAAAAATAGAAATTTCTGTGAAATTCTTTCAAAATGCTTCTCCTCCTACAGTTTTGGTCTGATTTCAATATAACTTGGCATACAAGTACACTACACTTAGATACATAATTCTGTATATCGGTTTTTGATTTCGATGAACGGTGTTGCCATTGTTACTAAAAATAGAAATTTCTGTTAAAAACTCTCAAAATGCTACTCCAAATACAGTTTAAGTCTGATTATAATATGATGTGGCATGCAAGTAGACTACACTAAGAACATAAAGAGACTTAATCAAGGATCATTATTCTTTTTATTGCTGTGGTAAAGTTTCAATTCCCAAATAATTAAGAACTTTTCTCTTTCTTTGCTATAAGTACAAACCAGTAGAGCTTCAGTCTCGACAGAGACTTCTGGTTTCTGATCAATCTGTCTATCCATCGGTGTGTCTGCATCTGTAGATTTAACACATAATTGGCTTCTTTGCAAGAACCACTGGACTAATTTTATTCAAAATGAGTAAAGGAGATTCCAGCTTGATTTAGAGGCAAGGACTAAGGAATTTATATTGGA